ACCCGAGCCAGGCCGACACCGCTAGGACAGGTGAGGGATCATTCCACAGGTTCAGTACGTGGAGTGGGACAAAGACCTAGCCAGACGGGTTCCTGCCTATCCCGCTTCACCGTCGCCCTGTCCCCGCCTCAGACTCGGGGTACGCGTCTTACAACCCTGTCACTAGGTGTGAAAACCGGAGGGGAAAGGCAGAACAGCAGTGGCAGTAAAACGTGGGTGTCTAAAGCCAGACGTGGAGACGTCCGCCATCAAGCTCGCCGGGGCGGCCACACTGTAGTAAACCCACACGCGTGTTACCAGGGCCGTGCTGGGAGTGGGGCCAGCGTCTCGCACAGAGCCAGACAGCCGGCGAGTTCGGGCGCACTGTGTCCCGTCCTGCGTGAGCCAGCACTGGACCCTGGCCTGTGCTCGAGGAAGGACGGCCCCCTGACTCCCCCACCCGCGGCTCTCACCTATCCCCCAGATGCCTTATTTGGGGATCTTCGTGGGTGCCTATAACAAATGGGGAGTCTGGCACCACCCCAGGAATTCGGCTGGGTCAGGATCTCCGGGTGTGAGGGTCGGGAATTGAACTTTAAACATCTTCCTTAGGCTGTGGTTTTTGTTTTGTTTCTTCTTTAATGGCGGAGGGTATGTGTGCATGAAGAGAGAGAGGGAGGGAGCACCCCAGTAGGGCCTAGTCATGCTGCCATCCATTTTCCCCCATGTCTTCTACCCCTCAGGGTCCTGGTCAGGGTCCTGGGCGCGTGCGTAGGAGCTGGCTTGTCTTTCAGGCCCAGGCCGAGATCTGAGCTGGCCTCGGCCCTGAGCCTCCCTCGGCCCTGAACCTCCCTTGGCCCTGAGCCTCCCTCGGCCCTGAGCCACCCTGGGCCCTGAGCCTGGGCTCTGGCTCCCTGCACAGTGCTCCGCCTGCCGCTCTGGGGAGACCCTCCTTGGGGGACTCTAGGTCACACAAGTTTGAGTGCTAGAAAGTAAGTGTCTTCTCTAGGAAGTAGATTTTTGCCCACGTCGTAGTGTTAGGAATTGGTATAACTCGTTCTGGCTATAAATTCTCTGTGTGTTCTGTTACTGATAAAGACTGTCACCCAGCCAAGCTCATTCGTAACTCTCCTGTGCTGTGTGATTAGGGTTGACTTTTGGGATCCTCTTTACTCTTTTTTTTTTTTTTTTTTTGAGAGGTTTTTGCTATAGGGCACGTGCGCTCGCCAGAAAGACCGAGACAGAAAGCGAGAAATCACCCCCTGGGGGGATGGCCACGCCGCAATCCCTTCTCCTCCATTCTCCTCTCAGGATCTTGGGCACGCACGCACACGCGCCCGGCGTGAATTTAAGCCACCGGGTCCGGGACTCGAACCAGGGTCGACTACATGGGAGTCCAGCAACATAGCCATTACGCTAACTGCTGGTCCCCTCTTTCCTCTTTAAATGCCCATGTTGTTATTTTTTTCTTTTTTATTCCTTCTCTGTCCTCATTGAAGAATAATAAAAGCTTTCTAGTGATTGAGCATTTTGCTGAAATGCTTCTGCATGTTTTTAGGTACTTTAGGATGTGGATATACTACATTATATACATTTTCTAAAGCTTATGTATTTCTTCCACGAGAGAGAAAGAGAGAGAGGTGCACCCTCCACAGGGTCTTCATGCCACACGCACCCCGTCTCGGCCGTCCGGTCACGGCACAGCCTGCCAGCGTGCACAGGGAGGCCCACCCACATACCTTTCTTTCCTTTTTCTGGCCAGAGGCCACGTGCGCTTATCAGAGAGAGACAAAGACGAGGGAGAAGGTAGAGCAGCCCCCAGAAGGGCGTGGTCACTGTAGTCCTCCTCTGCTCCTCCACCCGGCCAGAATGTTGGGCACGCACACTCGCTGCAGGGCCAGGATTCGAACCGAGGTCAGTCATGTGGGACCTAGCTCCTTAAACTGTAAGCTATGGGGCTGGCTCACTCATATACATTATCTTTTTATAAATGTATAAACAGCACTTTCACTGGGATCTTTGACTTGTTGAAGGATTGTTTCTAGTGTTCTCCGAAGATCCTGTAGTAATGGGCCACCCATGTCTGAGTGGTTCCTGCAGTCTGCTGGCTCTCCTTCCCCAACCCTGCTTCCCCTACCCGGCCCCCCTGCTCCCCCTGCCCTACTCCCCGCACTCTGCTTCCCTCACTCTGCTCCCCCCACCCTGCTTCCTCTCCCCTTCTCTCCTTACACTCGGTGATCACGTGTTAGCTTCCCAGATGTCCCGCTCTGATTCTAGGGAAATTCTGTGTCAGCTTTGAGCTCAGGGAAGTCAACTGCCCCGTTATAAAGTAGGATTAGAAATAAGAAATAGCTTCTTACAAAGATACCTTTTGTTATTTTCATGCTCCCTGAAGGAATGTGTAAAACAGGATATGGATATTTATAATGAATTCTTGTTTAAAATGGGAGGAGTGTTTGCAGTTATTTAACTTGGGGGCCGGCACACCTGCAAGTTTTCCTTTTTAGGTTCTTCTAAAGAACACTGTCTGATAGAACAAACCTTTTCACACCCCAGAAAACTCAGACACACTTTCTGTCTGCTCGCAGGGTTACACGTGCGCAGGCATTGATACTCCATGAGAGCGCTGCTATTAGCTCCATGTGACTATTGAAACTTAAATGAACTAAAACTGACGTTAGCAGCTCAGTTCAGTCAGAGGAACTGAAGTTTGAGTGCTAACTGCCAGATGTTGCCAGTGGTGCCCACGTGGAGCAGTGAGGTACAGATCACCTTGACTGCACTCCGTTCTCTTGGGCAGCGCTGCGCTGGACTGGTTATTTCTTTTTTTAAGAGAAATTTTCACTGTAGGGTGCATGCGCTGGCCAGAGAAAGACAGAAAGTGAAAAATCACCCCCCGGGGGGATGGGCACGCCGCAATCCCTTCTTCACACTCCTCTCAGGATCTTGGACATGCATGCACACACACCCGGCATGTGTTTCAGGCTGCTGGGTCCAGGACTCGAACTGCAGTTGGCCATGTGTGAGTCCAGCAAAATAACCATTACACCATCTGCTGGTCCCTAGACTGCTCATTTCTAAGAAGAGAAAAACACAAGTGAAGGAGGAAATTAATAATGACCTCGGGCATCAGGTAGCATGGTGGTTAAGGTACTGGATCTCACACGGCTGACCTTGGTCTGAGCCCCAGACCTGGCATCTTGAAAATCGCATCAGGTGTATATTCACGCATGCCCAGAATCCCGAGAGGAGGACGGAGGAGAAGCAATGGTGCTATGGCCACCCCCACCCCTGTGGGGGTGATTTCTCACTTTCTCTCAGTCCCTGTCCAGGGAGAGGATGAGCCCTACGGCAAAAACAGAAAAGAAAAACAAAACAAAACAAAACCTTTAAAATAATAATCACCTAGATTTGCACCCTTCCGTTCCCAGTGCAACTTTTCCTGTCTTCTTTTTTTCTTTTTTAAGAGAGATTTTTGCCGTAGGGTGCGTGAGCTCATTGGAGAGACCAACAGAAAGCGAGAAATCACCCCTGGGAGGATGGCCACCCCACATTCCCTTTTCTTCCTCCATTCTCCTCGGGATTTTGGGCACGTGTGTACACGTGCCTGGTGTGAGTTTTAAGCCACTGGGTCTGGGACTGAAAGCCCAGTCGACTGCGTGGGAGTCAGTGACGTATCCGTTATACCATCTGCTCACCCCTCTCCCTGTCTTCTTGACCTCTTGATTGACACTCAGGAAAGAGCGTGGTTTTGAGTACTGTCCGTCTGACCATGTTTCCGATGTCTCTTTCAGGCTGGCAGTGATGGGGAGAGCATTGGAAACTGCCCCTTTTCCCAGAGGCTCTTCATGATTCTTTGGCTCAAAGGCGTTGTGTTTAGTGTGACAACAGTTGACCTGAAAAGGTAAGCCGTGGTCTAGTCTGGGTCACGTTAGGCTGAGAGTGTGTACGTACTTCCCAGTCTTCTCTTGTGGTCCTTCCCTCGTCTTTGAATTGCGTATAGTCTCTAAAGAAAATGCATTGCAGTCCATCTGATTTAAAGACAGACTGAGTTTGTGTATTATGGACAATTTGCAAGGTCCACAAATTACATGTGACCACTCAGTTTACCTTCAATTTCAGGAGCAGTGCTAGGAGCTGAGCTTTGTGTAAATGCCCTGAAATAGCCGAGCTTCCCGGTGTAAGCACGAACACTTCATCCCACGGGTGCTAAACATGACCCACGCACTTTTGTCTTTAACGACAAGAATGGCATTTTTAGGAGGGTGAATACAGCTGTAGTCTATTTCATCGATTCCACTTTTCGGGAAATAAGAGTTTTCTATAACAATTTAAGTCTTATTTGGTAAGTGTAATTGCACACTGAGAACAGTTTCGCGGCCCTGGGGTGGCTTCGCGGTCTGTGGGCCGGAGTGGAGAGCGCTGACAGCCCTCACCAGTACTGAGCGCTGCATCCCGACCCTGCTTCTCCACGGCAGTCAGGTGTGAGGCCAAGAACGTCCGCACCCAGCCTGGCCCCAGGATTTAAACCTCGAGATACCAGGGGCCAGCAGGTGGCGTGGAGGCTGACGGGCTGGATTCTTAGATGGCTGGCTGTGCAGTTCGAGTCCTGGACCTGGAGGCTTGAAAATCACACCACACATGTGTATGTGCCCTAGATCCTGCTGGGAGAATGGAGGGGAGGGGATCGTGGCGTGGCCATCTTTCCTGGGAGGGGTGATCTCTCACTTATCCTCTAACTCTATGTCTCTGGCCAGAACATGTGCCTTATATATAGCAAAAACTAAAAAGAAAAGAGTAGTTAATGGAAAATCCAGAATTTGGCATTGGAAATATATTTCTCAACATAAATGCTACAACATGAATTTTTACTTATTTTTTAAGCATTATCCAGGCATGAACTATGTGAATAAATAGTGGCAGGCTGTTGCCTGCTGGGTGGCAGAATTCATCTGTGTTGTCCCCACTGTCAGCATCATATGCTGAAATTATCCGAGAGTTGTAATCCCGGGCCCAAGCATACGCTGGGGCCTCTGTCAATTTCCCGAAAACTTATTCTTCTTGCCAGTGCATTTTTATGAAAATGTGCAGACTTAATATTTATTTCTTGGAGATACTCCGTGACATCTTCCAGGACCCCCTTGGTATGTACGTGAATTAGAAATAAGCCTTTGGGTAGTAAGAGTAGAAGGACGGGCTCGTGGGAAGGCGGGACCTGGCTGTGCTGGGCAGAGGATTATACAAGAAAGGAGCGGCGTAGCTGTCCTCCAGCCACTGTGCTTCTCCTGCATGCATACTCAAAGGGAGTTTCCCAATAGAACTTCTAAAAATAGGCCTTGCCACCAGGCACACACCCTTACTGTGTCCCAAAGTGCATGGGTTTTTCTTCTCTTCCATTTTTGGCTTAGTGCAGGCGACTTGACTGCCGCGCTTTGACAAGCCTCCTTTGACTGCTGGATACCGTGCTTGACTGTGGTCCCTACCAGTGGTGCTGCGGCGGTGGGAATCTGGTTGGGAAGAGGACCTGAACCCAGCGAGCCCCATTCAAAGTCATCTGATTTATTTACTGAAGACTTTCTTCTTAACTTTATTTGTTTTTTTTTTTTTTTTTCCATGAGCAAGAGAGATAGAGAGAAAGAGAGAGACGTCACTCCCAACAGGGTCTCGACAACGTGCTCCACCCCGCATCAGCCAGCTGGGATGACGGGCCCCTGTGCCTGTGTGCTCAGGCCGGGCTCTGGGTGTGAGCCCACACCTCCTCCGTGGATCAGCCTCACAGAGGGTTTACCTCCGTGCCACTCTCTGCCCATTTCAGACTTCCCTTGAATTCCGGAGAAAAAATAAAATATGGGCTGGCCCTGTGGTGTAGTAGTGAAGGGAGCAGGATCCCTGAGGGTTCGAATCCTGGTTCTGGTGGCTTAAAACACACCAGGTATGTGAGGGTGGGTACCCTAAATCCCAACAGGGGTGCACATGCCTCTGAATGAAAAACGCTCCTGAGGGCGACAGGAAGTCTGTAAGTTTCTAAGTTCGGTCCCCAGCCCTGGGCATCCCCGCCCTGTCTCAGCAGTGGCTGTTCTCAGGTTCGGACCTTGCCCTCCCAGGTATTTTCTGTGTGTTTACATCCTTACAGTGCTGAACAAAATTTCAAAGAGAAGCTACCCCAAGAGAAGGAACATTGGTTCAGAAAAGCGATGTAAAAGGAAGTTGCCGCAGAGGGATAGAAGTACTTTTCATAATGTATTCCTGATTTAAAGCACCACACATGACTCTTTAGAACGCTCTGGGGAAGAGGAGGCCTGTGGTGCTTGTTTTCCTGCTTTTCTTTGTGATTGCCTCACTCCTCCGTGAAAGTATTGGTCCTGGAACAAACAGCAGCGAGCACTAGAACTCCGGGAGCGCTAGAAACCCACGGCGTGCTCTGAACACATGCTCGCTGCCTGGTTGCGCTTCTAGGACGAGCCTGTCTCAAGCTCTGGCCCTGCGTGGGCACTCCGTGAGGGGCAGCGGGTGTCAGTGGCCACAGGGGTGGCGCGTGTGGGCCCTCGGGAGGTTGCAGCAGCCCCCGCTACCGGCCTGCCAGCGCAGCCTAGTGCTTTCGTGGGGTCTTTCCAAACCTGATTTTCTGCTCATGCCACAACTGTGTTAAAGACCTTCGAGATTAAAAAAAAAATTTAAAAAGTGCTCAGGCTTGATTAAAAAATTCAGATTTATGTCAACTGCCAACTACCTTTTCAGCCAAAGTGTCAGATAAGTGAAACTGCGAATAATAAGATTGGGGGGGGTGAAGATGGTACTGCGTGCCATCACTGGGGAGCAGCCATGGCACAATGGCGAGTGTGGGAGGCAGAGACCTGGCTCTGTACGGAGAAAGCCCTGACGCCTGCTTCTCTGGGACCTTAAGCAAGCTGCCTCGGTTTGGGGTCAGTCACTCTTACTTCAATTGAGGAGAAAGGCAGGGGAGGACGAGATGCTTTTCAGCGTCGTGGGGGTGC